AGGATTTCTAATACAAATGTCAGGCAGTTCTACTGTGTGAGGTGGAAACCTCGAGAACTACGAAAGGCATCATGTAGAAGATACAAGTGTTTATGAACAGTTGTCTATGCAAAATACTTCGGATTAGCTGGACAGACACCATCAGCAACAACTTACTGTGGAAGAGAACAAACCAGATTCCAGTGGAGGAGGATATCAGGAATAAGTGGTGGAAGTGGATAGGACACACACTACGAAAAGCACCGAACTGCGTCACAAGACAAGCCCTCACATGGAACCTTCAAGGCAAAAGGAAAAGAGGAAGACCAAAGAACACACTACGCCGAGAAATAAAGAAAGATATGAGAAGAATGAATCAAAATACTATCATGAACGTGCATAATTAATACGATTAGTTTGTATACTATGGTTTTTCTCTTTCGATAACTAAGAGAAGACGAGGTCAATGATTTTCTAATCTAACATAGCTAGCTATAAAAGAACAATACTGAAATCCAGTGTGTAGTTTAAGGCTGAAATTTTTTTTGAGAAAAGAAAACATACATCAATCTTGAATAGTCAACATCAATCAGCCTGATGACAGTTGTTTCAAATCGAACTAGTGAAATTTGAAGTATAGTTCACCACTTTTGTTGGCTTAAGTACTGACTACGATATTTATGAACAGTGAAATATACTGCTATGAAATCAATCAATCCCCCATATTCAGTTTCTGTATATCATACTTTTAGACGAATCCTGCTTGGGTGACGGACGTAATAAGAAGCCTAAAACACATTCACTTGGATGAGTTTATTTCAGGCAAATGTTGATGCAGAGAGACATGTTAACGAAAAGCATAACAAACGAAGTAAAGCGAAGTGGATAATTCAAGCAAGTCAACTCAATGCGATGAGGTATGAGTAAGAGTATTTACATTCAGAGAAAAAATAAGCCAGACATGCTGTAAGCAAAGTAAGCCTGCACACACACCGACGACACTCGAATGCAAATAATAACCAAGGATAGGAGAGAATAATGGAAAAGATCGAAAGACGTATGAATACTAGCTAAAGAAGAATGGATTAGTTAATTTTTTCAAAGACTGGGACAAATGAATCTGATCTATCCAGGAAGAATAATAGAATATCATTTATCTGTTGCTGTGGATTTGATTAATTGAACAATTGTTGGTGGAATAACTGAGAGGTAATATTTGTTTCTCGTAATGATATATATTTATATTGATGACTCACTTGTTTTGATTTCAACTGGGCAAGGCGCGTCATATCTCAACAACCTGGAAAGTTATTTTCTCAGTTCAAACCTCAGTTTGGATGCTACAATAAGTGATTACAAACTTGACAAAATATCATGAATTTTTATTTAACTACTGAAAAGTAGTAGTTAGTAGTTGACATTATACGACAAAAAAACTTTCATTGCAAAGAATTCTCATCATTGATTTTGTGGCATTGAAACAGAATTCATTTGAAAAGACATTCAAATTGTTATTATGTAAGAAGAATAGATTTTTTTTCTACCGTTGTGGTGAGTAAATTCCATTTCGAAATCATGAATCGACGATCAATGTTAGTATACCAGCATCATTAGAAACTTGAATGCATCGAACTGCTGTTTCGCCATTGGGATAGAACTCATCAATCGCGGTGCGTAACTCCACTACTACTGAACGAAACTCAATCACCATCTCAATACTTTGCTAACTTACTTTGTCCAAAATCAATATCATTGAAAGATATATGCAATTGGATGGTTGAAGATTTATCTGTTTGAGTGAACTACTGTATCTCTGATATTATCTCTTATGTTGTTTCTTACTAAAGTTGGTGTTCACGAAGTATATGCTGGACTCAATAATCTTTACTCACAATTATCATATGCTCACTAGTAACTGGTTTTGTGAAGAAAATTCTCCATGTTCTGGTTAGAAGTTCAACTATGCGTGGCAGTTATTCACTGAAAACATTGAAGGATGGCCGCGTAACATTGTGGATTCATTCACGTTAGACATCGATATCATAAGGTGCCAGTTCATGAGTCAGGAGGTTGGTTAAACGTTTGCACACTAGACCGAACTTCTTAGGTCCCAGTCCTAACCCCCACTTTTGAGTTCTATACTAGGATGAAACAGAACCTCAGAGCTTCTTGGTCTTCAATAGGGGTTTAATATTGATTCATTCATGTGAATTTGGTTAATAGGTTGAATGATTTGAATATCTGCGATCGATATTCTCATGTCGGGATGTGTAAATAGTTTGTAAATAGAATTTCAGAAGAAAACTTTAATGTGCCAAGTTTTGGGCGTTGATTCACCTCTATCAACTCTAAATACCCTAGTTTATATTCAGTTGAATGATAATAGGAGAAGTTAGGCCTCGAAACGAGATCGGATTCATGGTATGAAGGATTTATATGTAGCATAAAATGCTCTCAGACCAATATGTTCAAATCTAAAAATATCGTATCGTGATCATGATAAGAAAAGCCATCCGATAACTTTAATGAGCAAGTGTCTCACTTTGATCGATATTGTAATTTAACTAGTTATTAGTTTCCAATATTCTGTCACGACAGTGTATATGGTGGTATGAGGTGGTTGCGACATGTGCTGCGTATGCCTAACAACCGACTGCCTCGACGAGCTTTGTTTTGTAGTGTAGGAATAGGTTAGAAGAAAGTTAGGGGTGGCCAAACCAAAATATGGCAGAAATCCATGAAGTCATTGACGAGTGGACTTATCCATGTCGGCAGTTGTCGACTACCTGGTTGGGGTACGCGAGATGATAATAATCGATGTTTTGAGACCTTGAATGACATGGATCAAAACCGTTTGCACTGGCGCCGGTGCATTTATCCTTTGTGTTCTCTCAAATCCTAATCTTCTGGATTCTTCAACACCTCTAGTTTTGTCTTTCTAAACTTTTCTCACTGAATCATATTTCTTGAATATCTTCTAATCCTAACCACTCCAATTACTTCTATAATACCTTTACTACCTCTTCTACTAATATTGGATTTGAATTGACAATTACATCTCTGTGTGCTAATAATGTGGTATGGCAACATGAACTGATGTACTTACGTACGAAGTTCTACGTTGCATCTGACTGACTGATGGTTAGTCTTTGTAATCTACTTTATGAAGGCCAAAATACTATCAGCAACAACCTAATGTGAGAGACAAAAAAACCGCAGTCCGATTGATGAGGATATCAGGAAGAAGCACTGTAAGTGGAGAGAACACACATCGAGGAAAACATCTAACTGTGTCACAAGAAGAGCCCTCACTTGAAATCCTTAAGACAAAAGGAAAAGAGGTTTACTAAAGAATACATTCATTACGCTGTGGAATGGAGACAGACATGAGAAGAATGAAGAACAGTTAAATAGAACTAGATTGATCAGAGTTTGAAACTAACATTCTTCGGTGCCAGCGCAGTGGTCCAGAGGCTAGGCGTTCGCACTCAAGACCGATGGCCGTGCGTTCAAATCCTGTAAGTTGCAGGAGTCAGTGATTCGCACTTCCACTGATGAGTCCCACTCATATCAGGACGAAACGAGCGTTCAGTGCTTCCTAGGTTTTCTAATGATGGTCTAACACTAGTTGATTGATGAGATGATTTGAATGTGCAAAGAACTATAAAAGTAGGTCCAGGACAGAGTCGGTTGAAGAATGCCAGTCAGAGACCTATGAGTTAAATATTTCATCTTACATAACACATCTCATTCAATGTTCAATTTGTTTTTGTCGAGTTTTATGAAAACTATCTCATCATTTATTATGTATTAATCGGTGTCTATGAAACATACTTCGGTGTCACATAACTCCACGGGAGGAAATTATATTCACCTACTACTACTACCACTACTAATTTAATGTAGCAGCAGCTCAACAAACAGTGTGGCAGTGGATGATGATGAATTTGAAATGCACACGAAATTATGTCAACTCAACTCTAAACTCTGTGTCTGTTATTTTTTCTACTAAGATCAATAATGATCACAGAATTGGTTCGTTGAGAACAAATCAAGGCGTAAAAACACACGTTGAAGGCGAAAGACTTATAGAGAGAGGAGTATGTGTACATATGTTGTACCTTAGAATATTGATTTTTTGTTTGTACTGTTCTGGTGTGATTGCCTCTTCGTCGTGTTTGATTGACACGAATGCAAAAAATACACCTGCCTGAATGACTTATACTCAACAGTTGACATACACGCGCACACACACAAACACACACCATAGACAAAGACAATGATGTCTACCGACTGCGGTTATACAGTGGAGTATTGATATCATCCATTTGTCAGTGACTTCATGGATTTCTGCCATGTTTTGGTCTGGCCGCCTCTAGCTTTCTTCCACCCTACCCCTACATCACAAATCATCGCCCGTCAAAGTAGACGGCCTCTAGGTTGGAAGAAAGCTAGAGGCGGCCAAACCAAAACATGGCAGAAATCCATGAAGTCACTGACAAATGGACTGATTCATGTTCGTAGATATAAGATACCATTTTCGGGGGCGCGAGACGAAACTCCCCGACGGTTAGAGACCTTGAATGACATAGTTCAGAATCGATTGCAATGGCGCAAATGCATCCATTCTTTGTGTTCTCTCAAATCCTAATCTTCTCGATTCGTCAACACCTCCACCTTTGTCTTTCTAACCTTACCTCACTCACTGAATTATACTTCTTGAATAATAATATCTTCAAACCCTAGTCTTCTTCATTACCATTAATACCTCTACGATCTCTACTATCACTATGGGATTTGATTTCTGACATTTGCGTCTCTATGCTAATGTGATGGTATGGCAATCTGAACTTATGTACACATACGTACGAAGTTCTACGTTGCAACTGACTGACTGAATGATCCTATAAACAACAGCTCAGCATAATTCAGCAGCAATCATATTTGAAAGAGACTATTATCATTTTGAAAATACACTTGATCACTTGATGTTGTTTTATGAGACACAAAACACACACAAATTGTTACATTATCATCTTATTTATTGCTCATAATGTTAGTAACATTTACATCTGTATATATACAAATACTGGATAAGAAATAAATTAGTCACAGCGCCCGCACACACACACACACAAACAAGAACAACCGACAATGATTTTCCCAAATCAACAGTCCATACCAACCAACCAAACACAATCACCGACCACCACCAACCAGCACCACAAGAAAAGAGATCAAATGTGAGGAGAAAAAAATAGAATTATTAGTAGTGAAGAACACTTCTCTACTGGGAGGGGACTTCAACAATTCATTTTACGAGCGTGGAACAAAACCCGCAATTATCGATCCGAACGTAACAATGGACTAGGAAAGTAGGATAAACGATTTTTAGGCCATAAATAACGTAGTGATACATTATTATCAGCTAGTGGTTGTTCAGGTTGTTGCAGATCATCGGTTGGCGGTGATTGTAGATCAGCTGATGCTTTGTTTAAATCAAATGTTTGATTCATCATCACTGAGGCATGAGTAGTCGGTTGCTGTTGTTGTTCAACATTCAAATTTAATTGTAATGCACGAGTTTTACGTTTTGGACGTGATATTTTCATTAATGGCGGTCCCATCAAAGTGGTAGAATGTGTTTCAATTGTATTATGGTTGCTTTCCAATGATAAAGATGATGAAGTTAACGATGAATCTGTACGATTTCTGCACAAACCTAATACACATTGACAATGTGATGGATTACATGAACGATTGGAACGTTTACAACTACATCGGGATTGACATGTACCTCGGCATTTACATCGTGGTTGATGTGAATCGGTGTCGTTGGTTGACTGATGAAAAGAAAATTCAGAAAAACAGAAAAAAAATTCATATGATAACACTTTATTGAATATCAGTGAATATATTTTACTCCTGCGTGTTGCAGGAGTCGTGGATGCGCACTGCTGATGAGGAGTCCCATACGAGGACGAAACGGCCGTCCAGTGCTTACAGGTTTCTAATTTTGGTCTAACATTGATCGATTCATGGTCTCAAAAATGTGTGTAACTTAACAATCTTCACAACAACCCCGTAATGCAAATTACCTGTGTTCACTAGTGACTAACTTCGTGAGGAATCATCTCCGAGTTCTAGTGGGAAGACGTGACCAGTGATGTTGAACCTGTTCGGGTGTAGGCAGTGTCTACTGAAGACTGTGTATGAGGTTGCGCAACTCCGTGAATCCGATCAAGTTGGACATTAACACCGTTAAAAACCGGCTCGAAGGTCTAACGGTTAGGGCGTTCGGGCACAACACCAAAGGTCCTGGGTTCGAATCCTGCGGGATGCAGGAGTCGTGGATGCGCACTGCTGAGGAGTCCCATACGAGGGCGAAACGGCCGTCCAGCGCTTCCAAATTTCTAATGGTGGTCTAACATTGATCGATTCATGGTTTCAAAATCTAGTTATGTAAATACTTTGATAATAACCTGTAAGGTGAATTCACTGTTGAGATAGATGACCAAAGTGGAAAATACTTTGTGCGTGTGTGTACTTTTTTGTCGAGCCCATAGAGCTTGTCCCAAGTCTCTGGACAAATTGACTAATCGATTCTATACGAGTTACACTTCAACTACCTTTTGACCTTGTCATTTATTTGCTTTTATCTTGGTTGTTTCTATTTGACCTAGAAGGTTTATTCCACAGGACAGTTAGGAAAAGTTAGGGGACTTTTTTTCTAAGTTCATAAGCCATGTAATTCCTCAGTGTTTTGAAGTTCCTCAAATCGCCTACATGGATCCTTTATGTCTACCATAGAAAACTAGAGGCTATCAGACCAATAAGTGGGATTAAGTCATGAAATCGTTGACCGTTGGAGGGAACCATGTTATAAGACATACATTACATAACATACAGTACAAGGAATGGATACATTTGCGCCATTACAAACCGTTTTGAGCCATATCATTCAAAGTCTTTAACTATCAGTTACTATTGTCTCGCGGATTCCAACCAGGTAGTCCATACCTGCTAACATGGCACAAATCCACTTGTCAGTGACTTCGTGAATTTACGCCGCGTTTTAGTCTGGTCAATCCCTAGCTTTTTTCGAACCTACCCCTACACCAAAAATCATCGCCCGTCAAAGTAGACAGCGGTTGGACATTCGTGTCACATGCCCCAGTCACTTGACGGATAAAGTTTCATCATTACTTCGTTAAATCACCTGTCACCCTTACCTAGTACTCACTTCCTAAAAATTGCATAGCTTACTCGATTGTCCCAGGATACACGAACAATATACATCGACGACACCGATGATTGAATGCTAATGACCTACAAATATCCTCACTTCATACTGATCACGTTTCACAACCATATAGTAGAACTAAGCGACATGATGCGCAGTAAACCCATCCTTTTTTCGGTTAACAGACAAATATCTCGCCTAAGCACATTGGCAAAAGCCAAATCTCAAGCCTTCACAGTATCCGCACTCCGCACATTTAATCACTCACCAGACCATCAACATTGATGACTTACTTACTTACTTACGCCTGTTACCCCCAATGGAGTATAGGCCCCCTACCAGTTTTCTCCAATCAACTATGTCCTGGGCTTCCCTTTCCAGTTCTATCCAATTTTTGTTCATTCCTCTCATATCTGTCTCTGTTTGTCGGTGTAATGTGTTCCTTGGGCTTCCTCTGTTCCTTTTTCCCTGAGGGTTCTATGTGACGGCTTGTCTTGTGAAGCAGTTAGGTGCTTTCCGTAGTGTGTCCTATCCACTTCCACCACTTCTTCCTGATTTCCTCCTCCACTGAAGGAATCAGGTTAATTATCTCCCACAGTTCGTTGTTGCTGATCATGTCTGGCCAACGAATACGAAGTATTTTGCGAAGACAACTGTTAACAAACACTTGAATCTTCTGGATGATGCCTTTCGTAGTTCTCCACGTTTCCGCTCCATACAACAGAACTGTCTTGACATTTGTATTGAAAATCCTAATTTTGGTTTTCGTTGAAAGTTGTTTGGAGTTCCATATATTTTTCAACTGTAGAAACGCAGCCCTTGCTTTGCCAATCCGCACCCTCACACCTGCATCGGATCCACCTTTCTCGTCGATGATGCTGCCAAGATATATAAAGGTGTTAACGTCCTCCATTGCATCTCCATCAAGAGTGATTTGGTTGGTGCATGTTGTGTTGCATCGGAGAATTTCGCTTTTTCCTTTAAGATGTATGTTGAGACCTACTGCTGCAGAGGCTGCTGCTACACATCAGTATTGATGGTGAGACTCCAGCTAAAAGTCAAATTGTGTGTTATGAACTATGAATTATCTCTGTACTAAAATGTTTTTACATAATACATCAACTGTATGTATAGCCATTAGTCCGGTGGTCCAACGGTTAGGCGTTCGCGCACAATAAACAAATTTCCCGGGTTCGAATCCAGCGAGGTGCAGGAGTCATAAATGTATAGCCATTAAGAAAAACACCAATCCGACTATCTTGATTAATAAAACCAACAAAATACAGAATCAACAACATGACACACACACACTTCACTTACCATCCTATCATCATTGTCTGTCACTGTCAACGGTAAACTCCATTCATTGTCTAACTTTTTATACTTCATGCCCGGCTCATCATCATCATCATGTTGATTATGCGGCTTCATTGGTTGATTGATAAGAGTAGTTGTAATTGGTGGCATATTCTCATCACCATCATTAGCGTGATCATCATTTGACAATGTGAATGTACAATTATGAATGTTATTATTCTGATGATGATGATGATCAGGTTGTTGACGAATTAATGGTGTATTTAATAATTTATTATTACTACTAACTACTATTTCAGTAGTAACAGGTGGACTAGTCTAAATAAATTAAAAAGCATAATAATAATTAATATAAAGAAAATGTTGATAAATTAAAAAGTATATTGATGAAATTATTTGAAAAAATATTGAAAATAATATAGAAGAGTAGTACAAGTAGTCACGTGACTCTATTTATGGTTGTTACCATCAGTTCGACGACTGTAACAAGTTAATAATCTACTGCGTAATTTATATGCGAACTTGCCGCTACTACTCTACTTGTCAATTTTTTATTGGTTGTTCCAAGTTTACTTTTAACTGAATCTAATTGTAAAAATTGTATTTTTCGTTTTGCGTTTTATGTTGTAATATGATCTGGTATGCTGGTATATTAACTATGTCCCGACTAAAATATAAATTCATGGAGGTTCATTCATTCATTCAGTCAGTCAGATGCAACGTAGAACTTCGTACGAAAGTACATCAGTTCATGTTGCCATACCACATCAGCACACAGAGATGTAATTGTCAATTCAAATCCCATAATGGTAGAGGTAGTAAAGGTATTAGAAGTAATCCAAGAGGTTAGGATTAGAAGATATTATTCAAGAAGTATGATTCAGTGAGATAAGGTTAGAAAGACAAAACTAGAAAGAACACAAAGATTGGATGCACTGGCGCCATTGCAAACGGTTTTGAGCCATGTCATTCAGGGTCTCTAACCATCGATTATTATCATCTCGCGGACCCAAACCAGGTAGCCTGCACCTACCGACTCAGTCCACTTGTCAGTGACTTCATTGATTTCTGCCATGGTTTGGTTTGGCCATACGTAACACATGTCCCGACCACCTCAACTGATGAAGTTTCACCACTTCATCTATTGATCTGCCATCCTTACCTAGTACTCGTTTCCTAACGACAGCATTGCTTACTCGGTTGTGCCACGGAACACGAGCAATGCTTCTAAGAGATTTATGATCGAAAACCAGTAACCTACTTTCACCGGCCAAGGAAAGGAAAAGAGAAAGTCCAAGGAACACATTACGCCGAGAAATAGAGAAAGATATGAGAAGAATGAACAAAAATTGGACAGAACTGGAAAGGGAAGCCCAGGACAGTAGTGTAGGTTGGAGAAAACTGGTGCCGGCGGCCTATGCTCCAGGCGTAAGTAAATAAGTAAGTTGAACAAAAAGTGAGAAAGTGGACAACATTGACGTAATCAATACCGATATCGGTGTAAGGTGAATCAGTCGATCAAAATTGAAATTCTAATTAGAAGTGAATGAATGGCATTTGTTATCCTGTGAGTGTTTAGTAGTTCAGTAGTATGCTGAATGTTCATATGTAAAATATTCTCTTTGAACAGAAAAAAAACAGGTAACTCAATCAACAACCTACTGTCATTAATGTTTTAATTTTCATTAAATTATCATGTTGAATTTTTGATGCTTCACGTAATTCAACATTTTCTTGTTTCAATTGATCAATTGATTCATTTGCCAATTGAAGACGTAATTGAATATCTTTTATCTAAGAGGATGAACAGAGGAAAACAGAACAGAACAGAACAGAATGAGACATGATACAATAAGAAACGAATAAGTACACCAATGGTATATTAAAGATTCCCATATTGTGAAAATTACAACAACATATAAGGAATATTCATTACAGGGGTTGTGAAGACTGGTAAGTTACACATTTTTGAAACCATGAATCGATCAACGGTAGACCACCATTAGAAACCTGGAAGCACTGGACGGCCGTTTCGTCCTGGTATGGGACTCCTCAGTAGTGCGCATATAAGGAATAGAAAATGTTTCGTTGACTGAGCTGGATGTGGGGTTTGGCTATGGAGCTTTCATAGTTCATCTGAAATAACATCATCAACATCAGCATAAGCCAGTTGCAACATAGAACTTTGTACGTATGTATGTACATAAGTTCATGTTGCCATACCACATTATTAGCACACAGAGACGCAAATGTCAAATCAAATCTCATAGTGATCAAGATAGTAGGGGTATTAATGGTAATGAAGAAGACTAGAGGGTTTGAAGATATTATTATTTAAGAAGTATAATTCAGTGAGATAAGGTTAGAAAGACAAAGGGGTAGAGGTGCTGATGAATCCAGAAGATTAGGATTTGAGAGAGCTCAACGAATGGATGCACTTGCACCATCGCAAACGAATCTCAGCCTTGTCGTTCAAGGTCTTTAACCATTGGTGACTATCGTCTCGCGGACCCCAACCAAGTAGTCTACATCTACCAACATGACTCAATCCACTTGTCAGTGACTTCATAGATTTCTGCTATGTTTTGGTCTGGCCGCCCCTTACTTTCTTCCAACCTACTGCTATACCACAAAACATAGCTCGTCGAGGCAGTCGGTGCTTAGTCATACGTAACACATGTCCCAACCACCTCAACTGATGAAGTTTCACTACTTCATCTATTGATTTGCCACCCCTACCTAGAACTAGTTTCCTAACGACAGCATTGCTTCTACGGTTGTCCCACGATACACGAGCAACGCTTCAGAGACATTGATGATCGACGACTTCTGATAGAATTGAATTGAAGTATCAACTACACGTTTAATGTCAATGACAGCCAATCAAGATCAATGTCAAACGGAACGACCCATGAACAATAATGTTGAGAAATCCAAATAATTCACTTCTATCTGAAGTTTGTGCTGATGATGATGAGGTTGTTCAAAAGAACAGCTGCCATTGATTTGTCACGGTGAAATTGTATTGAATGGTACAAATCATATTTTCTAGAGTTTCTCACTACATTTTTTAGCTGAAATGAAATATATTATCTTGAAATGATGCATATGACTGGTTATTTTACATATAGTCGACTAGGAATATTTTACCAAACCTGAAAGATGGCGATGATATACAACCAACCAACCTTGAACACTACTTGAAAAATTCAGTCAGTCAGCCAGTTGCAACGTAGAACCGAAGCTGCTACCTTGACGTGGTTGATGGGCTTGCCTATCGTGATCACATAACCGAGCTATATCGGCTGGAACTTATGTTCCTCAAGGTTCTACCATGCCAGGCAGGTCGATTGGAGAACGATCAGACTCAAAGCAGATACCCAAGGTCTGAGGGCGAATTCATACTGCTGACTGTGATGGAGGGGTGTGACAGCAGTAAGGTGTTTCCCTCGGACAACCAGCATCTGCAGCGATGCTGCTGCCTTCTCACAAGGAAGGAAGGGTTAGAAAAGGTCGACCCTAAAAATGTCACACCTCACCCTACCTCACGGATTTCCGTCTCCGTCGGTAAGGGTGCCCACTAAGAGCCTTTAAGAACGGAGCTAATCCTCTAAATACCTTTCATAAGAAGGCCGTGCGTGACCGGCCTCAAGCAGTTGTCCCTTGGACTCTGCGGTCACGCTTCCAGGTCTCTAAGACCAACACTAATCTATCTTCCTTTTCAGGTCCCTCAAGAAACAACCTTCCACGGTGTGGGCAGCCGGGAAGTGACAACCGCACACGAGACCAAATTGGTCAAAATCAAATCCTTCCTACACCCACACATACCTCTCTTCTCTCCACAACTAACTCTACTCACATTCCCTTATCTGACTGTACCGTTAATACAAACGATGCGAGTTCACGAAACGTCGTTCCTGGTCTCTTGAAACCTCTTTTCTAGACTATATGTTGGAGCATTTAATGTACGGACATGGTGTCAAATAGGGCAACAGGCATCACTAGCTAAAACTTTAAAATCTCGTGTCATCAATGTATGCTGCGTCTCGGAAACGCGCATACAGGATCCTAGCATTCCCCATTAGCAGGTAAACTGTATCATTTTTAAAACTTACTTTTTCTTCTGATTTGCATAAATCCATTGAATATTGTTCTGTAATTTGTAATAAATTTTCAACTTTTTGTTTTTCTGTATTCAGTTGAGATTCCAATTCGAATATTTGTGTTTCTAAATTAATTTTAGACACTTCAGATGATGATGCCTGTGAAAATAGAAGAATTGATAAGATAAGAAAAAAACAAGACGCCTTTAAATGGAGAATAAAAGAGGGAAATTGGCGGAATACAGTTTTGTTGAACAGATCATGTGGTGTGTGCTACTTATAAGTAGTATATGACGTGACTGTCAACGTAATGTCTGGCAGCTGAAAATGGGGGAAGATCAAGAAAGGAAGAGTGGGGGGAACACAATGGAATTTGTATGAAACGCATGAATAGTGAGTGACAATAGATTGATGTTTTGCAACAGGAACAGTCCAGTTCGATGGGATGGACTGATATTTTGCAAATTAACGATTTACGATATGGTTTTCCAATTTTACTGAGTAACTCTGTAATTTTCGTTACATACAATTCGGTTTCCCCACCTGTGTTCTCGTTGACTACAAGCCTACATTTTCCAAGGTCAATACAAGTTCTGCCATAACGCACAACAGCTAGTTAATTACTAAACATCTCAGCTTAGTCACATATGTTGTCTATCAACTCAGTGACTGTTACTTATCAGTCAGCTACACAACGTAGAACTACGTACATACGTACGTTGTACGTACAACGTTCAAATTGCAGTACCGTTTTAGCAGACGGAGATAGGATTGTCAATTCAAATCCCATAGTAGTGGTAGTGATAGTAGAGGTATCAGCGCTTATGGAGAAGATTAGGGATCAAGGATATTATTCAAGAAGTATAATTCACTGAGATAACCTTAGAAAGAGAAAGATAGAGGTAATAAGCAATTCAGAATAAAGAATTCAGAGAATACAAAGAGTTGATGCACCTGCACCAGTGCAAAAGATTTCGAGCAATCTAAATCCAAGGTTTCTAACCGTCGGTTAATATGATCGCGAAGACCACAACCAGGTGGTAGTCTACACATACCAACATGACTCAGTTCACTTGTCAGTGACTTCATGGATTTGTGACATTAGTAGACAGAGAGAGAGAATTGTCAATTCAAATCCCATAATGGTAGAGAGATAGTAGAGGTATCAGCGTTAATAGAGAAGATTAGGATTCGAAAATATGATCCTAAAGCGAGAAAGATAAAGGTGATGAGGAAATGAGATGATTAGAATTTGACTGAACACAAACAATGGATGCACCTGTGTGTTACGTCTGCACGTAAACACGTCATTTTGATATGCTTGAACTATTACGAGTTTACCTTAGTCAGTGAACGAGAGCGAGGATCGAGGATCCGGCGACACGACATGCTACTCTAATCCGATTGTCCCAAACCTCATTGAACAAAAGAAGAGAGCTCGATATGAAGTAGAACTTGTATTCTACAAGCATACAGAAAGTACGAGGTCCGAGTTCAGAAGAGAATCAGGATCCCGGACTAGGGATCCGGGATCGAGCCCTGGTCATAAAACATTACAGATAATGCGTATTTATACATTTAGGTTGAATAAGAAACATCATCGAACTCTGTGACATTGACAGTTAAGACGACCAATAGGAGGCAACATTTAAAGTGACATTGATAGTCAGGACAACCAATAAGAAACAACATTGGAGCACGTGACATTGATAGTCATGAAAACCAATAAGAAACAAGATTGAAGCAGGTGACATTGATATCTAAGACGACCATAAAATTGACCAGTAGGAGTTAACCAATAGGAATTAAGCAATAATTCTCTTAGGATATTGAATGAATATCCTAACACTGCCATTTCAAAACCATCATCAGTTACTACTGACTTGCGTAACCCAAAACTTGCTGCTACACAGTGTACACCTACTAACATGGCTTAATTCACATGTTACTGACTTTATGGATTTGTGACATTTTTTTTCATCCGAACAACCAACCATAACCTTACTACTTCCCAGCCTAACACCACCACCACCCATACACCACAAAAAATCACTCATCCACGCAGTGACTACTTATATTCAAATTGTTAGGATATTCACCAAATATCCTAAGAATACTATTTGTAAAAGGACAATCCTATTGGTCGATTTCTATTGGCCGTCAAGGTCAAATACTTCAATGTTGCCTCTTATTATTGGTCATTTGGACTGTCAATGTCATTCCAAATGTTCATTTCTATTGGTCGTCGTCCTAAACTGTCAATGTCACAGACGTTGATGCTCTTTTCTTATTCGACCTTAGTGTATAAATACGCACTATCTGAAAGACTTAATAATTCCGTTCTTTCCTGCCTACCTCTTCTGTATTCGACCCAATAAACAACTCCAATCCCACGATGTTACGTTCTGATATCTAGGAGATTTGGATATTTGAATTTGGACGCCGCTAGGACTGAATAGCGATACGATACGTAGCAGCGTTTACAACACAAATGTAATTAAACAATTAGAAAACTAAAAGTAACAAATATATCATCCAATAACTTACTTGTTTGAATAAATATTTCAAAGCAATTTTCGCTTCTTGTATATTATGCAATTGAGATAAACGTGATGTGATCAATGGACCAGTGGAATCCGTACATAATCCAGACGATGCATCAGTGGATGCACGTTCACCGGCATCCATTAATTTCTGTTGTAAATCACTAATCTGTTGTGTTTGACATTGAATCGATTCGGTAAGAGTGTTCATCTCTTCAATGTACATATCATACGACGTACCATTGTGTCGACATTCATCTATTTTTGCTTCAATTGTACGTAATCGATCACATAGAGTTTTACGTGATTCCATAAAATGATTTAAATGTTGTCGGACAACATCCATACTAATTTGTAAATCTAAATCAATTTTAACCCATGCACGTACACGTGTAGCTAAATCGAATTTACTTGATAAAAAGAAAATCAACAGGAAAATTAGTTTGTATAAATAGTTTATAAACTAGAGAAAAAAAAGATATTGAAATTAGAATTATGGAGATCATGTGTTTTTTTTATTACCTGGAAGAAGCAATGAAAGATGACCGTTTCGTCCTGTTAGGGGACTCTCTTCAGAGTCCGGCGAGTAGCAGGAGACGTAGGTATGCACTGCTGAATTTAGTCAGTCAGTCAAGTACAACGTAGAACTTCGTAAGTACGTACGTATATCAGTTCAGGTTGCCATACCGCATTAGCATAGAGACGCCACTATCAGTTCAAATCCAACAGTGATAAAGATAGTAGAGGTATTAATGGTAATGAAGAAGACTAGAGTTTGAAGATATTATTCAAGTATAATTCAGTGAAATAAGGTTAGAAA